TGCGCTGTGTCATGTGTACTTGTGTGCTTGCCCAAAAAGCTGTTCACCAAATCAAGGCACTCCCCTGATGATTCAAATCTCGCGCGAATAAGACAAGGCAGCACTAAAACCGACAAACGCACTGTAGCCATGTGAGCAAAACACCTGACCACTCCTTTTGTGACAGGCAGAATAGGGTCAAAAAATGCAGCGAGATGCCAGAGACCCAAGCATCTGTAGAACTTGAAGGCGCTCGAGCTCGGAGCAAAAAGCAAAGAGCGACAAAGCTGCCAAGGGCTGCATTCTCCTTCGGCCTTGCGCCGCGTTTGTCCCAAACCTCACTCTGACCACTCCCTTCCAAACCCTTGCAGACCCCTCTGAGGTTCCCGGGCATGGCGGAGGATGGTGGCGCCGTACTTGTCCAGCACCTCCGGAGTCAGGAAGCTCTGCTCCAGGGGCGGATCCGTGCCGTCGTCCACCACGATGATCTCATGCAGCACCGACCTGGAAGATACAACTCGGCGGGTCGGTGGGCGGGTCGGCAGGCAATTATGAAGGTAAAAGCCCTGCATATCAATGTTCATGCATGCCTCTCGACACAAGCAGGGCGTGTCAAAAGGCAACATGCTCCCATCATCAACTCAACAGTCGTGCTGGGGGAATTTACAGTTTAAGGTGCCGAATCCAAAATGCAAGCTCCTGCGCAAGACATGCTGCGCTTGTGTGGTTGTTCTTCAATCCAAACAGGCAACACTCTCACTAGTGATCTGGGTGCCAAGTTGCTGCGGCGTGGTCTCGTAGACCGCGCGCACGGTGTTCAGCGCATACTGCCCCTGTCAAATGCAAGTGGCGCCAAGACAAGAAGGGCAAGATGTGAGCCACTGGATGTCACCCGTTCTTGCACCTGGCTCAGTTTGGAAACAGGTCCTTCCGAAAAACTCAGCGGGGCCTGAACGCGGCCGCATACGCCTGTCCTCTTCACTTCATCAACATAACCTAACTGCATCCAGGGGCTCTGGCGTTCCCATGCAACGCTGAACTTTGCGGGTGAGGGAGAGAAAACGCCGAGCTACGGAGGAAGCAACGTTTAAGCTTTGTGGTCAAAGCTCCTTGCGGTCAATGTCATGGTTCGTTCATGATGCTTACAATGGCTTGATGGTTCTCAGATCCCTAATCAAGGTTGATGACCATCCCTGCCCCCAAGCAAAGGGTTCAAGCATGTCAAACATGAAACCAACCATTGAGTCGCACACCAAAAGGACCTGAAAATCAAATCTAAACCTTTTGGGGCCATGAACAAAAATGGACCGAAAAGGACAAACTTTCAAGCTTAGAGTGGCTTTGGAATGAGTTGAGAAGGAGCCCGGCACCCGGCCCACCAGCCCACCTCGCCAGCGCAGGGCAGCACTACGGAGATCTTCTGTACAGCATCAATGCTGCCTCTGCGCCGTGCCAATGCGCCGCCCGGATGTCTTGGGCGGCCGCTGGGCATGGTTTCAGGCTTTGTGCGGGAAGGAGAATTCACTTGAAATGGGGGGAGTTCCAGGCCAGGAACTTTGTAATTGAGGTCGTTCTGCCCAGGGTCGCTGTGACTTGCCCTGGCTTCAAGTCAGGTCAGAGCAGGTAGAGCACGGACAATTAGGATCCGAAGGCACCAATGGTTGGCACTCTACATTGATAGATCACTGTCAACCACACATTGCCCTCGCCCCGTACGGAGCACGGATCAAAATGAGCCCCGGGCTCGCTGGCTCTGCGTCTGAAGCTCTCCAAAGGATGAGGAACCAAACCTGTGCCGCGGCATCGAAGAAACCAGGAGATCTGCCCTGTACGTTCCCCCTGCAATACGCAACAGGCACAAGGCCAGCATGATGGACAAATGATTCGCAAGTGGATACAACTTGCCGCAAAAAACACGCTGTGTCATATCACCCAACAGCACTGACCGGCTGACCCTGGGAAATGTTCCTTGCCTCTCATTGCGCCTTTCAATACTTTCACCGCAAGGCCGTCCAGCTCATCGCAACAAGGCTTCCCCACCCAAACCAGGATTCTACCCTCAAGATGCTTACTCCCTGTTTTCTGTTGACGTGGTAGCTTGTTTTCACGCACGGTAAGAAATTAATCGAGTCAATTGAGTCCCAGTAAAAACTTCGGTAAAAGGAGTATACCCAACACCATCAGAAGGGTTTCAGCATCAGCTGCACTGTTCTTTATGCTTGGGACTGGCCCTAGCCAGCCTCCACTTTCCAGGCTGTGGCTCAGTTTGTCTCTGGAGACACGGCCACCAAGGTATGCTAAGTCAACACGAGAGCAGACCATATTCTACAGCCCTTATTGTATCCCCATCTGTGTGTGTGTGTGTCACATTCCAAGTGCAATCTAACCACACAACTCATATTCTTGGCGCTAGACAAACACCGTGTCATTGGAACTCTTACAAGTGGCTTCCCGGCCGGTCTTCTTCCAATATCAGGAAAAAAGAACCAAAAACAGAAACCTTCCAACAACTGACCAGCGGGGAATCCTCGAGACTCCGAAGAAACCAACCGCCGGCTGCGCTGCACGCCTGCAGGAGCCACAGCACGGACAGCCGCAGCAGCGCGGGCACCTGGATGGAGTCAGGCATCGAGGCTTTGTCGATGGTCCACCCGCAAGGGGCTTGAGAAGCTCTCGAAATGCCCCCCTCCCGATGTCCACCACCATGGCAGTTGCCACGGGTGGTTTCCTTTGGGTTCTTTCTCTTGGGTGTGACCTCTGCAATAGGTGTGGTTCTTTTCCTTTTTATTGCTGGAACAAAGACAACGGTTGGCAGATTGACACCAAGTGACAGTCTGGATGCTGAATCCACCTGTAGATTCATCCCAAAAGGCTGCTAAAGGCTACTAAAAGAGTGAAAAAAGTTGTGAATCCGCAGGTAGAGCATTGAAACTGGCATCTAGATGGTGAACTATTCTCTTTCTGGGTGACCACTCCAGTATGGAGCGCCCTGGACAGCTGCATCGCTCACAAGTCAAGTTGCAGAACGCACAAATGCATTTTTGGCAAATGAGAATAATCCCAGGTTCAAATCGGCCCAAACCGCGATGGCGGCAGCAGCTAACGCATAGCAGCGCCCAAACAAGGTGCCAAGGGCAGTTAATAAGGGGGCTTCGTGTGTATGGATGGCGACAGTTTCAAGCCTCGCGTGAACGAGATTTGAATTCAGAGATGAAGCAGTGCCAAGTGCAGCTCCGAAAACGTGGGGCACTGCACCAGACAGTCCTTGCTCTGGACCATCGAGGCATACCCCTCATGAGTAGAATGCTATTCAAACGCGTCCGGGCAAAAAACTCAACAATCAAAACCTGGTATGCAAGATTAGTTGATCTACCAAAAACAGAACAGAACAGAATAAATCCAAAGGCCAGCTGTCATATTGCGGTGACTCCCAAATTTCAGCTTTGCTTGTGGCCCTCTTGGTTCTCTCACTCGATCCCTCTGCCTTAAGGCAGGGCAGCAGCTTCTTGGCGCGCCCAAAAAGCCGCGCCCGGACCTGGCTGGGCGGGGGGGGATGATGGACCAGTCCCGGTTGCCCGCGTTGGATGAGTAGGCTAATGAACCCTGGGAATATAATGACTTTTATCTACTTGCACAAAATTTAAAGTGGATGGTTGGTGTGGATATTGTTGGCATGGCGACTTGCTTCGCTGGTGCCCTGGTCCAAAATGTGAGGGGGCCTTAGCGAGGGAGCCTCCTTTGCAAAGGTTCGTTGCAAACATGTTTTGCTACGACCAAATACGCGGGATCTACTCTGAACCAACTGAAAGACACCCATGATTTCCTCAACACGTGGTCAACATCCAACCCATGAATTCCACCCTTCAACCTGCTGAACCCCCCATAACTATCTTATCAGCTTCAAGAGCCCTTGCGTATCACAAAAACAATATCCCCCCCCTCCCCACCCACCCTCCCCTACCCCACCCACCCCCCCTATTCTTCCGCAATCATGCTCCACCCCTGCCCCCCCTCCCCCCCTGTCCCCCGCACACCGGGCTCAGCCACGGCCTTTGGCACCTCCAGCGGCGTCAGCAGCAGCGCCAGCAGCACTGGGATCCAGTGGAAGCAGCCCAGCACCAGCGTGGCCAACGGCACCAGCCACACCAAGCCCAGCCTGGCCAGGGGCTCCAGAAGACTTGTGAGGCCTTCTGGCGCAAGAGCCCTGAGTCCGAGTCCCCCACTTCTGGGAAATTTAGAGCTCGTCTCCTAAGTCCCAACCGACCAGGGACTGAGATTTTGAGGGAACCTCGCTTGGCCACTCTTGACGTCAGAAGAGAGCGAGAGCAGTCGGCCGGTCTTAGGTCAGCTTGCTGAACTCCAAGACTTGGAAAATATCAAGATCGGCTACAGCCCCTTTCATGCAAAAAGAACTGGCAAGTGGAAAGAACCCCGGAAAACCGATTGGCTGCCTCGCCTGATGGTGTACTTTGGCACCGAGCCTCGAGATGAGTTCGGACTCGAGCGCCACATGCACCCTGCAAGAACTGCACCCTGGTCTAGAGCCATCAGATTCCTTGCAAGCAACCACCGGAGTCGACGACTCGACGAGTCAAGCCAATTGAACCGCTCCCACCGTCAAGCTGAGGCAGGCGGCTTTTCGGAGGCATGGCTCAACGCCCAAAATCGGAGGTCGGCATCAAGTCGGCGCTTGGCCACGTGTGGCTCAGTATGGCTGCGTGGTTCTTTTCAAAGGGGCACGGCTCCTGAAAACAGGCTTAGTAGATGAGCCAGAAAAAAAGCGTGGTGAGTGGTGAGTGGTTTGAGCAGCTTCAAGCAACAAGCTGACACTGGCAATTGAATAATCCCGCTGACAAAAAGCAGCTTTGTGTTCCGGGCAAACACTGTTTAACACACTCTTGCTTTGCCATACCTCTTGCTTGTTCACTTCCTATGACGACGCAAGACTGTAGACCGAAACAGAGCAGACGGCGAGATTGGTAACCCGAAGCAAAATCTCTGCATTGAATGTGAGCCGCGTGGAAAGCGCATGGGGCGCGAGTCCTTGGGATGCCTTTGGTTCAGGTCCGGCGGCCTTGCACTTTTCGATTGGCCCAAACACTGCGATGGTGACCATTTGCGCCTTTCGCTCGGCAAGCCGGCAAGCTTTGTGCCACGGCTTGATCTACGTAGTCCAAGCTTGGTGTTCGCGACTAAAAAAGCGGCTGGGCCAGAATTGAGTGCCTTCCTCCAGGACGTTACGCTGCTGGCGCTATCTAGTGTGCCACGTCCAGGTGGATTGGTGGAGTGGTTCGTGGCAGTCCACACTACATCTTGGCGTTGAGCAAAGCATCCTGCAGGGAAGGCTGGCTTTGACTCGTGCCTGCCTGCTTGACCTCGTTGCATTTCTCCCTGTTGGAGCCTTGTATGCCATGGTAAGAATGTTTTTGGGAACGTTGGTTGGGCACTGCATGTACACTACCTGCTGAAGCGTTGATGAGCCTTCTCTGAGCCTCAAAGTTATCAAGCTCAAGCAGTGTGAACCTCAGATTCATAGCCCTTCAGAAAGAAACAAGGATGCAAGGCCTGAAACTAAATAATCTTCCCAGAAAGGACGCTATACGTGCCAAGGGAACTCGCCAAAGGATTCCTCAGCCACTGCCCAGCAATGTTTAGTTCCTGATTCTGTAACAACCGCTTCCTTTCACAACTCGTGCCAAATATTCTGTCTTTGCTCAGAGTATACTGTGGAATCAACCGTGATCGCCTCGAAAAGGCGTCCATGTTTTAATCACAAACCTGGTTTTCGGCCCCCATTCGACTCTGCCTTTTGGCTCATGGACTCAAAATCCCGTTCTTGTTGGCCACTTGGTTTGGCCCAAAAAGCAAGTTGCGGGTCAACAAGCAGTTTCACAAACCCCTGAAAGAAATGCCACCGCCCTCCTCTGCGGTGAGCACCACCGCGTTGGCCTCGCTCTGCAGCTCTTGCGCCACAGCCTCCGTGCGGTCCACGGCGGTGACCGGCCCACCGCCCGGCCAGGGGGGCGAGTAGGGCACCTTCCGCTCCGGGGGCGTCCACCCGTAGTTGTAGTTGGTGTCCCCCGGCCTAAAGGAAGCCCAACCGTTTCAACCTCGTTCCTTTGAAGGGGATCCATGGGAATCAAAGCAAGGATCTAAAGGACGGAAAGACGTTCTGGAAGTGGCAGTTGGACCGACATCATTTACATGGGGGTGCTATGTCCACGAACTATGTTTGAAGTTCCCTCATTGAAAATGATGTCCGCGTTCACCCCCTGGACCTTTCCTAATTAAGCAGATGAGGGCCGAGGTCGGAGCCTAGCCAGCGAAATCCCATTCATGCTAGGCCACCAGGTGTATTTGACTTGCATTGGTCATTTTTGCTGGGGTATTGTCAGCCGTGCTCCAGCAACACCTTTGACTTTTCTCAACACCTTCGAACTTTTCCTTTCTATCCTTAAACCCGAAGATATTTAGAGTTGTTTAACGGTCAATACATAGCGGGTCGCCCACCTGCAATGCGCCTTTCAAGCCAAATCTGCAAAAGGCTCCCAGGCCTGGGAGGGATCGGCTGCACTGGCGGCGCAGATTGGGGCGGCGGCCAGTGGCGCCCTGCGGGCTTTTGTTTTCGACCTCCCGTCATCATCTTTTGGTCCAGCTCGCGCTCGTTGGCATCGATGCTCTCTTTGCTGAGCTCTTTCAAGAGCTTGCCGGCATTGGGCGGGAGCATCTTCGACTGCAAGTGCGACGATGACACAAATTAGGAGCCAATAGATTAAGTAGCCTGGTTCTTGTGGGCCCATTGTGGGATATGTCTCCCAACATGACACTAACCCACTGCGCCTCTGGGGAGTCCTCCATTTCGAAGGTCCCCACAGAGCTTTTCTTTGGCGGCGGCTTGGGATGCGGCTGCTCCACAATCAGCGGCAGCCGTGGCTCAAAGGGCTCCTCTTCCGCCCGTGCTCCCCTCGACCTTGACCCCCTTGACCCCCTTGACCCGCTTGGCCCTGACCCTGACGCCCCCGATACTGGCGCAGGGGCCAGGCTGTCGCCCTCGACTTCTCCGAGTGGCACAGGCGGCGGAAGCATGTGATGCTTGTGGTGTTTCTTGGGCGCTGGCGGCGGCGCGGTGAACGGCACCGGCGGCTCGGCCTGCGCCGCCTGCTGCTCCTGCCGCTGCTCCTGGGCTGTGGCTTCCCAGTCCGTCGCTGGTCGTGGCTGCCCCCGCGGCGGATGCGTCTCGTGCTGCTCTCTCTCATCCACCGGTGGGCCGCGCCGGCCGGGCGCAGGTGCCGGGCTGGAGTAAGGAGGTCGCACCTCCGCATTCTGTGGGGGAAACCATTTGTGTTTAAGCGGCTTTAGCTTCTTGCAGAAGCCGTGCTTGGAGAAAAACCTCCCTCCAGGCATCCAGCTTGGACAGCTAGAATTCCACGGCTTGATCGTTTCCCCGAATGGATTCTTTTCTGGCTCTTCTTCTTCAAAGGAGCTGAAAAGAAATGAGCTGGCTGCGCAGCGCCGCGCAAGCTTCGTGCTGAACGCCATCTGCAGCCACCAGGCATCATCCAGACAACTTGGCGACTGGCAAAGATTCTGAAAAGTCTCCAGGCAGAAGACGTCTTTTGGCATGGCTCAAGACGGCTGTCGCATGGGAGGCGGGGATCTTTCGAACTTCGGTTGGGCGTGTTCCATGCGAAAAGCTGGTCCAACAATAGGCCTGGAAGAGTAAGTGCCTAAAAATAAAGCACTGGCACAAACCACAGTGCCGGGATGGCCTCCGCAGCCACCCGCTTAAGCCACATCGCAGGCACAAAGGCTTCCAAAATGCGGGGCCCTGATCCAAAAAGTCGGCGAGGGTTGACCAAAGGTGCTTGGGCATGCCACACGCACACACGAAAACACAGAGGGGGTCAGTATGAAATGCATAACAAGGCCGCCTGAAACCAAGCATAGTGCGCCCTATCAAAGCTTTGCTTGGTGGCTTGAAGTGCTTCGCTTGACTCTTCGGCCCGTGCTGTGGGGTGGCCTACTGCTCACACCACTTGGCCATGCTGCATCTGCGTTGTCCACACACTACTAGGGCGGCCTTGGCATCTGCCAAACCCAAGTTCTAGTCACTATTCTGGTCCTGCAATGCCTGCAAGGAACTTCAAGGAGCCCAAGGAAGAACCCCTTGATCGCACTTTTCCCAACGTGGCTTGGCCATCACGGGAAGCCAGAACGAACAGGGAGCAGCCAAGGCCGGGTCTGGAAACTGTACCAACACATCTAGAAACTTAGCGTCCCTTCCAGATGCCGAGCGCTGCTCTCCCACCTCCTGGCTCTCACTAGACCACTGTGAGTGACAGGGTCACCCTGGTGGCCCAGGTAAGTCTGCCTTTGCAGGGAATGGGATGAGCCAGCTTAGAAGCCGCTCAGGCTGGGTACCAGTAAGTGGTCAACCTGTCAATCGTGAAGATCCTATGGATCTCCAAGAACCTTGCATTTCCATGCTTACGACTTTCCTGGGTTGTAGATGCCATGGGTATGGGCCCATCCCGGCCGGTTCGGCGCTGGAAAACAGCTCGGCTCCTTTGCGCCACGGAATGAGCTCGCACCTGGCAGCAGCACAAACCAAATGAGCAGTGTTGCAAAACTCGAGAAGTTTGATTCTAACACATTATGTGTGTTCTCAGGGCTTCTGCAGAAGCAGGAGTGCCAAGTTAAATTGAAAGCTGGATATTGAGTACCTGTCCAATGTGTTGAAACAGTTGCCAGTATGGGCGCAAAAGGAAGCGCTGGGCCATTTTGAATGGCTGAAGGAGCCGCTGTCAAAAAACGGAGCCTCTCCCAATGGCTGGTGGCAGGTGGCAGGTGGCAGGTGGGCTTTACTTGAAAACCGCTTCGGCCAACCAATGCCTCAGGCAACAGTGGTGACTTGCCAATGGGGCGTGAGTTGGTTCACCGCCCAATCCCTTGCTCCTTCAGGCACACAACCCTGGCCAGGCCTGTGTGCCTCTAGGGAGCAACCTGCAAGCGCAACTGTGGATTCCACAAAAACAATGCCTGATTCGCAAACGCAAGTAGGCAACCACGAACGAAGAACAGACGGGGGAATGAGTGTTTCCCCTTTGCGTGATTGCTTTCACTTTGGGCTGACTGCATGGCATGGGTAAAGAATGGGTCGTTCAAGGGTCTCAGCAAAGACGCGGGTGGTTTGGGGCATTAAATTTGATGAAGGTGGCAAAGCTTTGGCTCAGGTAGCTGTGCAGGTGATGCTTGCGCTGCTGCAGCTACAGGGTTGGTAGCTCTTGTAGTGCAGGCAGAGCTCGTGGTGCTGGTGAGTGCTGGTGATGCGGGTTAGAAGGGGCCGGCCAACATGCATAGGGCGGCAGGAGTATGGTATTTATCATTAAATGAGTTCCATGGAGCTCTGAGTAGCCCTGGCGAGTAAAACATACCTTCTTCGTTCACTCCCAGTATCTACGTATGTCTTGATGCTCCAGCATTTGCAAGCGAAAACAGACTTTCTGTTCAGGTGCAGAGCTTGGGTAAGGGTGCCGGTCACGGGCATTGAAGCACTCAGGCCACGGCCAGCGTTGAGAGCTTCTCCTCTAGCATGGCACCCAGTTTCTCCTTAAGTCTCCGAAGCTGAAATCTCAAGCAGCGAATTGAACGCCCTTGCAGATTGTCAGGCTACACGATGGTTAAAAGAGCGACACCCATCTTTGGGTGGTCAACCTCATGCTCTCCAACTCCCATGACTTGGCAGAGCTCGTTAAACGCACCCTGCCCTGCCCGGCAGTCCTCAATGCTCCTGCGCCAGATGCTGCTCCAAAACCCAGCTTGGTGAATTCTGAGAAGACTTGGACCGAGCACGGTAGGCAATCCTCTTGCAAAAGCTACTTTGACGTGGTTCCGTTGTTTTTGTCAAAGTCAATATGCATTTATGTGAACGATCATGGAAGTGGACAAGGACTTTTGGGAGGGACAGCTGCATTGTCAGGCTTCGAACACGGACGTTCAATGGAATTGGCTGTTGACCACATGTCATGGAAGTTGCACAGAGCAAAAGGCGCCTCCAGAGGATATTCGCGTTTAAGAAGAAAAAAGGGTTGCACAATACAAGGCACTGTGCTCGTGTAAAGGGATGACTCGTCTCCTCTATTCTGCATGCTGTCCGTTTTCGTCTGTGAGTCTATTTCGCCGTCTCCCTAAGGCAAGTGTGCTGCCAATCTGCGAGTTGCGTTGCGCCTGTTGCAAAGCCCGTGCGCCACTTTAGGCCTTCGCTTCAAGCCACTCGCATGGGAAGCCAACAGTTTCCTGTTAAAGTTATGGCGAGCAGAGCAATCATTGAAGATACGCCGCAAGCCCTGGAAGCAAGTGTCCTTTCGATCTCCTCGGCCAGTTTGTTGATCCACGCCTCATGGAGGCGGGCCCTCTGCTCTGATCTGCATCATTGAGTACCCACCCCACCCCGCCAATAAAAAACTACCCCGACTCCGGCCGCCTGGAAACAGAAACAACCAACATCGGCCCCTGGTGAAACAGATTTCAAGCTTCCAGCATGGTGCACTAATTGAACACGCCCACAGAGGCCCTTTTTGTGGATCAAGCGTGAAACGAAGCCAACATCAGCTACCATCGTTGGAGGGCCTATGCAACCATCTTAAGTGAAGCGCTACGGAGCCATATGGATCCGTGCCCACCCAGGATTGACCATGCATGGCCATCCGGCCACCCGCAAGGCCACGTAAGGCGCCTCCTGAAGGCCAGCAGGCGAGACCTGCACGTTGATCACTCCACATGTCCAGCAATAACGCAGACGAGTCGGTGAGTCGGTGAGGCTGTAGATGAAACGCAGAACTCATGTTCAGCTGCAGGTTGCCAGCGTCAAGCCAGCTCCCTTGAAGAGCTAACCCAGTGCGTTCTGGCCAAAGGCAAATGAAAAATGTTGTTTCTCTCGCCAGCTTTCTCGGGGTGATCCGTTCTTACCCACCTTGTCTCGGGGTGATCCGTTCTTACCCACCTTGTCTTGCCATCCCTGGACCAGCAACTACGACTCTTTTCACCGAGCTTGTCTGCGCCTCCTCTCCAGACCTTAGAACTGTGCTGGGAAGGTTGCACCTGTGTCCGGGTATTGTCTTGGCCATCTTTTACGCTGCGTGTCCCTTGTGGAGATGACTCGGCCCCTATTTTACATGAGCGACCTTCAACATGCCACTGCGAACACCGCAAGAAAGTGGCAACGTAGTAAAGCAATGGCCACACCGTGGCAGCAAGCAAGCTTCGAGTGGCGACCTTGGCGCCCGCACGTTGCAGCCTCCTCAGCCGGCATACTCGGATTGCATGCAAAGTGTTGTCCTCGCATCAACAAAGGATTCTAAGCTTGCCATGGCTAGGGATATTCTAAACTTGAGGAGCGGGTGAACGAAAGCTAGCAGTTGTTGCATAAGATGGGCCGGTGACAGAGTGGATTCATAGGTAGCTTGTGTGCAACGAGAGGCCCGGCAAGATTCGTAGGATGCGACACGCAAACGCACATGGTGGCGTGGCAAACCTTGAAAAATGAAAACAACGAGAGGCGTCAGAAGCTGTCTTAAAGCACCTCTGGGTTCTGCATGCTGCGTGTGCAAAGATTCTTGCGAGGTGGTTTACCGAGAAGACTGAGGTCTCAAATGAACAAGCTGAATCGGTGGAACATGTAAAAGTTCGTAGCACCAAGTCCAAAACGGGCAAACCGAGACTGCTGAACACTGAGCCACTGCCTGGGGGATGGACCAGGGAGGAATCGAGCCTGAGACCGGGGGGGGGGGGAGGGGGGGGGGGTCTAAATGATTGATGTTTTTCAATCTTTTCGGCTCAAATAATTGAAAAAATCAATCTTTCGGCATTTGAGCCCCTTACCTTGCTTACGCAAGGAGAAACTTCAGCTAGCTAAAGCTAGCTTTCGTGATCATCCATAAAAGGCCTTAACCGTTCAAATACATGAATCAGTGCACGAGACAGTTGCAACGGCGGCATGCAGAGTGCTTTCCCTTCTAGTGTTGGTAGCCCAAGTCATCCCGCGCAAAGAGCGCGTGAAACCGCAAAGTGTCGCAAAGCCTTGCAAAGCTTTGACATCCCGAGTCAGCAGCGTGTAGCGTGCGTTTGTGGAGCGGGAGGGGGGTACTGCACATCACTGCCCTGCAGGACTCGTGACGTTGCGATTCTGAGTTGGCCATCGCTGATCCACCCGTGCCACCTATGCCCTATAAGTGTGTTTCTCGTTGCAAGTCGGAAAATCAGCAAGTTTCATGCTCAAGTGCACGCCATGTGCATACGGTGCTAGTTCTGGAGCAGCATCCGGGGCTTGGGCTCCGAAGCTCTCTGCTAACTTGTCCACTGCCTGAGCTGAAAGAGCAAAGACACTCCGAATCTCCGGAACCTTCAAACCGGGGGCTCGATCATGGTGACTCTGTGTTGCTAAAGACCACACCCCCTCAGACAGCATCCTGCCTCACTCAAGTGCTGCATTTCGTCGGCGCATCCACCTTTCAGGGCTCAATCGCACACAGAGCGTACTTCAGCAAGCCTGTTCCCTGAAAATTGGCTCGGCCTGGTTCATCAAACTCTTGCCAGCCTAGCCTCTTTTTGTTCCCAAGTGTAATGAGGTAGGTGATCATCAGACCCTTCAAGCAACACGGCACGGTCAGCACGATTGAGGCCGCTGCCAAGGATGCTCATCAGGTCGACCCGTTCTTCGACACAAATGTCGTTACTGCAGAGTGGCCCGAGCGAAGTCAGTGACAAAACAAATGCAGAAGCCACGCCCCGTATCAATAGTTGTGGTTTTGCCACTCGGTATAGTCTTCCCACGATTCAGCGAACCGGCAAACCACCAAACTGCTGGTGAATGCAAATTAGCGAAAAGACTACTGTCTCCAAAAATACTTGCATGCCGAATTCCGCAAGAAGCTACAAGAATGAGCTCTTTTGTTGGAAACGCTAACCCAGGCAATCACAAGTGCGATCAGCGGGCTTTCTCAGAAGCAAATGAAAGGCGTCCAATACAGTCAGGCGCCTGAGGTCTGCTTCGATGCTGTGCCGCCGCTGCCAGAGAGTGCCAGCCTCTGGCCTTGGAAAATCGAGCGAGCTTCCAAGGTTTTCCCCGATAGCAGGCACCTTCTGCTCCCTGCCATGTCCAGCTTGGGGGCCAGGCTCAGCTGGCTCTGGCTCAGCCGCTGCGGCCTGGCTTCTGGCTGGGCAAGTCGCTGCCAGAGAGGTGCAGTCAAATGCCACCAGTTTTGTGACAAATCTGCTGTCCAATCAAGGACATTCAGGAAGCGCGTGGTAGGTGGAAAAACAATCGGGTTTCACAAAATCACTTGAAAAGAGTTGTAGTGACATTGTAGTGCCATGAACAATTTAACGAAGTGGGCGGGAATCAACGTACTGTCAAATGAAATAAACAGCATGCAAGCTGTAGATTTTGTTCAGTAAGCACCTACACATCCAAGTTGCCCATCCAAGGATACTCAGCTATGCCACTAACAATAATTTTGGCAAATGGGCATAATCCTCGCTGCTGTCATTGGTTCTGACACTCGCACAGTCAAACATCACGCATGATCTATCCTGGCTGGTTCTTGGGCGTGCAAGTCGAGTGCCTCCAATCTGAATACAATCAGCCGTGAAGGCCTTCTCCTCTTTCTTCTCCTCGGGAATCTCCCCAGGCATGGCCTCCGATTTGCACGGATGGCTGGCCAATTCGTTCAAGAAAAACAACCGCAGCCTATGAAACGAGGTCCAGTGTTGTGAACACTTCGACTACCTTTCAGGGTGCAAGTCAGATAGTCAGCGCCACACGCTACAACTGAAACTTCCCAGCGTTAAGCGCTGTGGGCAACTTGCATTACTGTCTCGTGCACTCCGCTGGTGCTCGAAGGATTGCCGACTGAGCCCCCGCACCATAGGAGTCTCCTCCTCCCTGACACGCAACACGAGGCTCAAGGGGAGCACCAATCAAAGAGGGAGAGCTAGATCAACTTTCTGCAAGCGAACACCTGATCACAGCATCATTCTGCTGACCTCAGCTGAATCTGCACGGTGCAACAGTGTGAAAGACAATGGCTGTTGTCGCATTGGTCTTCTTGTGAATTATCTCCGGGTCGCCCAATTTTGAGAGCCCCCATATCTCCCGGCTGCCCTGTGATCACGGCCTCACAGACACCGAGTTGGGCCGGGCGAAGATGCCGTGGCCCACCTTGGCCTCGAAATACCTCGTAGGACAATACCAAAAGGGGCACCTGTGGTGAGGGGAGGGCTCCAGCCCAAAATATCTGCACTGGGCACAATTCTGCTCTCCAACGCGAAGCTGTTCACCGACATCCAGGTTTACCATCTGCAAAATCTGAGTCATTCACCATCCTGAATTGGGGAATCCAACTCAGGAAAGAGCTTTCCTGTGGGAGCTCATTTTACCCCAGGTAAGCTGGCACAAGCTTGCGCAGCAAGGCTCCTGAATTCAGTCAATTGCCAAGGTAATGAGTCCTAGAAGCACAACATGGAGGAGGGCCCTGTAATGCGCAAGGCCAAAAACCAATGGTGAGCTTTCTAGGCCTCAAACAAAGGTTTTGGCCCGTGACTTGAACTCCACTTCAGGGCCCGCGCCGTTCGCCCTGGACAGTTCCGTCGTTCTTCCCCTCCGGGCAGTCCTTGCCATGATACAACACGGATCAAAACCAGCCCTTGCTGACCATTGCGTTTCTTCGATTCCATGGTTGGTTTAAAGTTTAAAGGACCCGGCTCTGACCCACTGCCAGCAGCTGAAAATCCTAGTCCCGAATGATTCGGCGCCAAACATTTGGACTCGCCTCGTCACACGGCCCACAGCCTAAAACCACCGCAACTAAAGTAACTAAGACCGTATAACTTTAATAAAAATGATTTCGATTCATACGCTCCTCAACTCCAAGGTCCCCAAAGTCACCCCGAACCCCCCCACCCTCCTGCCCCGAACCCAAGGAGCCCATGTCAGCCACCCCGTCCAGCTCCACGCCCACCCAGGGGCCGGGGGCAAACTTGGTTGACCTCGGAGCGAACATACGGAACATCGGATCCAACAACATGGACGCTTTTTGGGAGGCGGGTAAGGATGTTGGAGTGGATCCATCTCGCACAGTTTATGCTCCCCACCTTGGCTCCGAATCTGGCAAACAGCGTGTTCAATCCACATTTTATACAAATGGCGCAAGCTTCCAGCTTCTTGGTTTCCAAAATTTCCCTGAACACTTGAGCTTCCATGCCCACGGAAACAATGGGGTGCAAGACGCTGGGCAGCGCCAACAGAATCGTGCATCCTGCAGGCAAGTGGCCCCACAAACTTCACCGTGCCCATCAGCTTGCCCAAAACCTGGGCTTGCAGGTGATGAAAAATGAGCGAAAGGGTTTCAACCCTGGTGCTCCCTCGCCAAGGGGAATATCCAGGCTCAGAGATGTAATGTAAACCAAAAGAGCGAGATGTCAAAAGCAAACCCAGAAAGTAGCACCATGCTGCACGTGATCCGGCAAAAAACAAAAAAATGGGCTCTTCCCAGAGCCAGTGTCTGGGAAGTGCAGAACTGGACACAAAGTCCTGTTTATTGCGGGTGTGGTGTGTTTGTCTGTGTCTCAAAATATCGCCCCTCCAAAAGGCTTGCTTAAGCCTTCGTTTGGGTGACTTCAAAAGCAGAGTCCTGTGGATGTGAAAGATGCATCTTGTGCTTGAACGAAAAAGCTTGGAGATCCAAAATGGATATCAATTTTGCATCGGTGGGAAATCATAGAGGGCATATGTCCGTCAATCACTTGACGGGGACTTCTCATTCGAATTCACAATCCAACTGTTCAATCATTCCTCTCTCTCTCAACCAACCCCGCCTCGCATCTGGCAGGCACTCCAAGTCAAGAAGCAACAACTTTAGAGCCCCGGTGACACTGAAACCAGCAAGAATGTGTCGAAGAGCATGTGGCTAAAGGAAGAAAAAACAGCAAACGGAAACCGCCTCCTGTAGAGCCCACTTCTCTTCCCTGCCTGCACCCGCGCACCGACCTTCAGGTCGTCCGGGACAGGTTGCATCATGGAAGCCTGAAGCTGGGCAAACACCTTAGGGTCTTAAAGGGAGGTCAATCAGAAACCTGCAATTTGTAGGGGAGGGTTCCATTCTGAGGCACACCCAAACATCAGAGCGTTAGGTGCAAAGACGATCTATTGCAATTGCCAAAATGACCGGACGTGTGTATGTGTGTGAAAATTGTGGATATTCTGTGTATATGACGAAGGAAACCTCTTGCTAAGTACTTCACCTGCCAGTTGTGCATTGACCACTGGGCTCTTTGTCCGGACAGCTGATCAAACTTGGCGCCGCACACGCGTAGCCATCCTGCACAGGTGAACAGGGAAAAGGAAGGGAAGCGAATGAAAACTGGGAGACGCCAGGACCAGGGGAAGAGGAAAGAAACGGAAAGGAAAGCAAGAGCCAAGCAAACCAAAGCAAACACGCAAAGGAAGCAACAACTTGGAACACGTGGACATTCCGGAAATGTGCCACTGTTTGCAATCGGATTACTTGCAACATTCGTACGCGGAGCATGTTGCTTTCCTTTCTGCCGAGCTTATGAGTCTCATTCAAGGCCGTACCTACCCACGGAGCATAAGCAGGGGCTTCTTCATTGCCAGAACAGCAGACTCTCCTCTCCTCGCAAGCCGCACTAATCGTCGCGGTTCCGATTGGCCGTGTCCCCTTGAACCAAGCGGCTGCCAGCGGATAACCTCAAGCCTGGATTCATGCAAAGAGTCGAAAAGACTTGATGTCGATCTCAACGAAACCTTGGCTCCCACTTCGAAACTTGACGTTTGATCCGCTTCCTCCAGCCTTTGACATGACAACAAACCTTCCAACCGATCGAGGAATACCTAGAATTCATTGCCCTCGCATGGGCAAGCTTCGTTGAAGGCCTAACTGCCAAAGCACAAGGGGTCCGTCCATCTCCCCCAACCCTGACATGAGTCCGACACAGACCTTGCCCAACCCTCAGCGCAACTTTTTGTTTCGTACCAGCTGTGTGCGGCTTTCAAACCTCAACCTTCCACCACGATCTGGTTTGAAGCCATGCACACGCACCGGACTGAGCTGCTCGGGAGAGTTTCGACGCACTTGTGCAAAGTTGGGAAAGGCTTATGAATGTACCTCCTTACCTGCAGACCCGGACTCGCTAAGAACCCTCCAGACGGAGGCGCGCCCCCCCCCGATAAGGCAAAGCGAACTGAAGGAGAACATCGACTCTGGGGCGGGCCCTCTGCCAAGTGTCTACGAAAGTTCGGGTCGGAAAGTAAGCAGCTCAGCGAAGTGGAAGACAAGTTCAGGATGCACGAACAGCGCAGGCAGAGGCATAGGAGGTGCGGCATGTCAAGCTAGCGACAGCCAAGGAGGGCGTTCAAGGTGACCGGTTGCTCACTCGGGCGCGTTCAATCTCAACCAAGAATGTATGCTGCCATGCTGCTCTTGCGCTTGCCTCGTGGCTTTCAATTCCTTGATGATCTTGATTTGAGGAGAGGAGGGCAAGAGATTCACTAGAAGGCTGAATGTTCATTATCTCCCTGCAAGCGACGAGACGAATAAGCCCGCCAATGCCAGCGCTGCTATGACAAAGGTTTCGTCACTGAAGAGATCTGAGCTTCGCTCGATCGATTTCAAGCTCACCTCTGGCTTGGTTTGAAACCAGCCGCAGGAAAGACAAAGAACTCGATCAATTGACTGCGGTCGCCCGTGTGGAGAGCTGCGAGGTAGGCTCTCTCGCTCGCACTCTGCGCACATGTCAATTGCATTGATGACCAAACGCTCCAATGCTTCCGATCCTTTGCAAAACCTTGTGGAGCACAACATGTAATCAAACGAGGCAGCAAACAAAGGTTGAATCACAATTCTGCTCATATTGCGCTGCTTGAGACTCAATGCTTTGATGCGCCGAGAACCAGCAGAAGGGCCCGGCCGCGCAAACTCTGCTGCTGCGGAAGAACTTCTGCGACCCTCCCATGCTCTTCGTCCCTTCACCGTCGCAGAAGCGAGGCCAAAGGCCTCAAAGTTCCGCACAGCTTGCATGCCAGGAAACCAACAACCCCGCCGCAGCTCACCAGCGCAAGGGGCCATGATCTTAGCCAATTGTCTGTGGCTCAGAATCAATCCCAATTCGGAACTGGACAAATCCTGAGGTGCCTTGGGCGACGTGTTCATGCTTGAGTCCCTTGTTCTGGTCGCTGCTGGCGCGTCATTAACGCCATGTGTGGAAGAGAACTTCCGAGTTCCAGCCCGCCAGCGCGGCTGTTCAGGATCGTCGAATATCTGGAGTGAGATTCTATGAAAGAGTTTGCAGGATTTGAAAAGCAAAGTGGATTTTTGCCGGCGCTAGTCTCAGTTGATTCATGGTGGCATGTGACAAATAAATTCCCCTGAAAAGGTTTTTGGATGCTGGTCAAGCGTGTTGTGTATTCCTGCTCTGGATCAAGATGTGCATTAACTAGTTTTCCTCCTTTGGGACCCACTGCAGATCATGACCCAACTGACAAACGTGCCCAAGCAAGCGCATGCCCCTGCAAGTCAGCTCTGCTGGTACATGAACAAGCTGCAGCAGCTGCAGCTGCCACGATCCTTGAACTGGATGTGCTCTCCCTGCTTGACATGGATTCGGCAGAGGAGGGGAAAACAGCTGATCCTGGCCCGATATTGGCAAACTCCACGCTCTTGAATTCAACACTGGTCACACTCCCATGAAAAGTGTACGCCGTTCGCGCACGGCTCAAAATCCTCAACCGCTGCACCGCAAAAGTTGCTTTTGGGCCCTTGGGCCGCTGAATGCCGACGCCCACCATCAGCCCTCCTCTGCCCACGATGTTTATTGTGTGATCACCCATGCGCAATTGGCCAGCCCAGCGCCCCGGAAAAAGCCCGCAAACTGCCAATGCTAAGTCAAACAAGCCCTGAGACGTGTGAAAAATGGTGTAGGTGTGTGCCTGCGCAGGTGCAGGTGCAAGTGCGTGTGCCTGTGCATGTGCGTCGCGTGTTCGCGTGTGCACGGGTCCCGTGCCGTCAAGGAGTACATCTGCGTGCGCGTGGGGTCTGGCCTCACTTACGCCGGCCGGTTTTTCTCACTTACGCCGGCCGGCCTCTTGTTGAGATCAAGGCTCGGTTGGGGGGGTGGGGGGGGGGGCAGTTATGTTCGCCTTTCACTGCATGACCGCGCAGCTGCGTCCTATGGCGTTTTTTCTGAGAAGGGATGAAACGGCATGCATCTTCTGGGAATGGGGTGGGGGGGATGGGAGGTGTGGGAGGGGGGGCGAGCGGAAATCTCAATCATCAAAAGCCTTTGGACCCCCAGAGCATATGTTTATCCCTCGTCAAGCATGTACAAAAAGTTGGGCCATGTGCCGCAGAAGCGGCCTAAACTGGCATGGCTGTCACAGCTAATGCAAAGTCGATAGTGCCATGTAACCGGGCCGCAGTATCCCTGCAGAATGCAGTGCTTCAAACAAAAGGCCTGAGTTTAGGAGGCTTCAGCTTGTGAGATGGGGCGACATGAGCACTCAAGGCTATTAAAAATTCACGAGACTTGCACATCTGTCGCCCTGAGAAGATTGCTGCGCCCTTCCGAGACTTTTCGTTGCATCAGACACGCACGATCCCTGTAAACGGTTCATCCGGCAGGCGGCTCAACACGCACAATCCCCGCAAAGGTTTCATCAGCCGAGGCACGCCAAAGGGAGCACAGCAGGCACAAGCGAGACAAACCGGCAGGCACAAGCGAGGCGCCTGCTATGCGCGTGCGTGCGTGTGGGGGTGCGCGCGTGCCAGCGCGCGCGTGCGCGCTTGTGCATTGTGTGCTCTTGCGCGCGCGTGTGCGCGTGTGTGTGTGTGTGTGTGTGTGTGTGTGTGTGTGTGTGTGTGTGTGTGTGTGTGCGAGCGTGTGTGCGCGTGTGCGCGTGTGTGTGTGTGTGTGTGTGTGTGTGTGTGTGTGTGTGTGTGTGTGTGTGTGTGTGTGTGTGTGTGTGTGTGTGTGTGTGTGTGTGTGTGTGTGTGTGTGTGTGTGTGTGTGTGTGTGTGTGTGTGTGTGTGTGTGTGTGTGTGTGTGTGCGCGTGCGTGTGCGTGATACAAGTGCTTTGTGTATGTGCGTGCGTGTGTGTGTGTGTGCAGGTGGGTGAGTGGGCGTGTGGTACAGGCCGGGCGTTGGGCAAGGCAGCGTAGCATGCGCGCGGCGCGTGCGTGGGTGGTGTCCAGGCAGGTGGTTTGTGTGTGCCATAGTCCTGAGGCTCAGCTCAGTCTGTACATTCGTCGTGCGCCTGACGTGCAGAAAGGCAGCGCAGGCAGAGGTGAGGCAGGCAGTGTAAGGCGGGAACGTATGCAGACGCAACATGCACGTGCAGTGGCATGTGGCAGCCCAGGGTAGGTAGGTAGAGCCAGGCAGGCACCTCGAGGCGTGGGCGGCACGGTCATCTTTCGACCTTGTGTGTGTGTGAGCGTGTGTGCGCGTGTGCATGTGTGTGCGTGCGCGTGTGTGTGTGCGCGCGCGCGTGCGTGTGACACGCGCGCGTTGTGCGTGTGCGCGTGTGCACGCAAGGGCGTGGCAAAAGCGTGCGTATGCGTGCGCTGCAGTGGCGCGCTGGCGCGCGCGGCGCGCACGTGAGCGCGACTGGTGGCGATTTACGGCGTGCGCGGTGACGCGCGCGTATGCGCGCGTGCGCGTGTGGGTGGCGTGTGTTTGCGTGCGCGCGTGGCGCGAAGCGCGCACGCGTGTGTGTGTATGCAGGTGTGCCGCGTGCGATGTGTGCGCTGCGCGCTGCGTGGTGCGCGCGTGCGCGTGCCGTGCGCGCGTGATTAACGCCTTTGCGTGTGTGTGCGCGCCGCGCTGCGCTGCGCTGCGCGTGGGTCAGCAGCGCAGGGCGCGGCATGACGTTGGTGATGGCAGGTTGGCAGTGGCGTGGCACAGGTTACGCCACACAGGAGCGCAGCGCATACGCGGGCGGGTGTGTGTGCACGCCGATGTCCTGTGTCGGCTTCAGGTTTGTGCGCCACGCCTGCCGTGGCCCACGCCGCGTGCGCGTGGGACAAACAAGATGGAGTCGTATATGCAGACGTGAGTCAAAACGGCGCTGATTTAACGCAGCGCTGCGCGTGTGCACGATGCTGTCCGCGCGCGCCCGTGCAGGCGTGTGGCTTCGCGCGCGCGTACGCGTGGCACCAAGGAAAACCGGAGGAGTCAGCAGAGCGCGCAGCGGCGTGCGTGGCGTGCGGCTGTGGCGCGTGCGCGGTGGAAGAGGCGCGTGCGCGAGCGCAAAGGGTAGTCTGTGGTGCGCCCATGTTGTGTGCATGCATGGCGTGTGGCAAAGCAGGTGGTGGTGTATTTGATCTGTCTGAGTCTAGGTGTGGCTGACATTTAAGAAAAGGCAGGTGGGTAATGGTCTATGTGCACAACGAGATGGTGGTGGTCGAGGGTCTATATTCTCATGATGGTCTTAGAAAGAGGTCTGAGGTCTAGGATCCAGATCCCATGGTCTGAGGGCTGCAGGCTGCAAGGCTGGTGCGGTAGGTGCAGGTGATAAGATCGGCAGCAGGCTAAGACAGAAGGCAGGCTGAAGGCGGGCGTGCTGGGCACACAGAGGCTGCGCGAAGGAGCATGTCGCACACACAGTCACATATACACATAGTATATACAACAATAAGAGCATGCGGCACAGTGAGAGCGCCACAGTTGAAGGCTGCAGTGGTTGCCAAGGCGCACGCGCGCGCCATGCTGATGCGCATTCACTGGATGGAATGGATGGATGGATGGCAATGGAGGTGGAAGGAAAAAGGCGGAGAAAAAGGCAAAGGTGAAAGTGAGAGATAAGGCAAGGGCAAGGCTGCGTGCGCGTGGATCCCAGGCATGGTGACAGCAGCACAGAAGAGGTTGCACAAGAGTTGCACAAGCATGACAAGGCGCAAAGCATGGCAAGGCACAAAAGGCTGGCAAGCACATGGCATAAGGCACAGCAGCAAGAAGGCATGGCATGGTGGCAATAAGGCGGGGTGGTTGAGGCGCGGATGCACATGTGTTGTGTAAGGTTGCTGCAAGGTTGGGGCAAGGTTGCAACGAAGAGAAGGCAACAAGACACATACGTGTACAGGCGCGTCGTTGCTACGGAAATTCTTATTCTCAGATTTTGTCCATGCACTATACTTGAACTTCTGCCGCACGCACAGCGTGCTATTTGAAGGTTGGGCATGGCATGGCACAAGAAGGCACAAACGCAAGGCAAGGCACAAGGCGCATGCTGCGGCGCAAGGCGGCATACGCTGGGCGCGGCATGGTGCTACATGGGCGGCGTGCTGCGTCACATAGCGCGTCGCACAAGCACAAGCATGCGCCGGCCATGCCTGTTGCGCCACATGCTCTGCGGCAGCCGCGCTGCGGCGCGGCGTACAGCGCAAGGTGTTGCTGTTGCTGCGCTGCATATATGCAGAGGCAGGCGCAGTGGTGGTACAGGCAGGTGTCAGGTGCAGGCAAGGCATGGGGGCGTGTCTCACAAAGAGGTGTAAGGGGCAAGGCAAGGTGGAGGCGGGCGCATAAGGCAGGTGTACATGTTATACTACGTATATACAATATAAACACAAGAGTAAGATATACAGAGTATAAAAAGGTAAGGTACAAGCATAAGTGGCAAGATAGTGGCTGGACAAGCATAAGGTATGTGATGCAAGGTAAGGAAGGCACAAGCATATATACATAAGAGCAAGTACAGTAAGGCAAGGCAGGCAAGCGCGCGCGGCAAGGGCAAGTGCGTACAAGCATAAGCATAGTACAGTATAAGGCGTGCTGGGGGAGGCAGGCACAGCAGGCACCGAGGCGAGGCCAGCAGGCAGCGGCAACCCCTGCTGGGCAAGGCAAGTGGCAGGCACCCAGGCAGCGCAAGGCAAGGCAAGGCAAGCCAGGCAAGGTGGCAAGATGTGCACAGGCGACATGGTGCAGTACACATACACATACCACATACTATAAGCATAAGATGTATGCGCAGCAGCTGGGGCTGGCTGGCTGGCTGGGCGTGGCTGGATACGGGCGATGTGATGATGGCTGCAGGCAGGTAAGGTATGCAGCGTGCTGCGGCAGCGTGGCGGAAGACATGCAGTGAGCCATGAGTCAGGCGATGCGTGAGATGCAGCGAGGTGCAGCCGCCAATTCGTGTGCGAAGGCATGCGCGGCATGCGCAGTGCACTTATAAGTAGTGGCAGGGACGAGGCTGAGGCAGATCCCACTAACGGTGTTTGTCCGCGTGACACGACGCGTGGCTCCAGACGGCAGGCGTGTGGTACGCGCGCGACGCTCAGGTCCACCCATCCTGTGCGCGTGCCGGGAGGCTGGCACATCTCCCCACGCAGGCAGTGCGCTGAACGCGCGGGCCAGGGATGGCCCAGGCGGGCGCAGGTGCGTAAGCGTGTGCCTGCGCGCGCGTGCGGATGCGCCTGCACCAGCTCCTGCGCCTGCACCTGCGCGGGTGCGTGCGTGCGCGTGCACGTACGCGGGTGCACGTGCGGGTGCGCGCGTGGGCTTACGCGTGCGCGGGTGGGTTTGGGTGTAAAGTTCGGCGTGGGTGCGTGCGTGCGTGCGTGCGTGCGTGCGTGCGTGCGTGCCTGCGTGCGTGCGTGCATGCGTGCGTGCGTGCGTGCGTGCGTGCGTGCGTGCGTGCGTGCGTGTGTGCATGCGTATGTGCGTGCGTGCTTGCGTGCGTGCGTGCGTGCGTGGGTGGGTGGGTGGGTGGGTGTGTGCGTGTGTGTGTGTGTGTGTGTGTGCATGGGTAGATGTACAGGCGGGTACGTAATTTGATTAATATGCGTGCATATGCGTGTATACCCGCCGCGGCGATTAAAAAGTGAACCCTCGCTTTTTGTGGGACTCGTGTTTGTGGTTGCGGTTTTCACTTTGCTCGCGGAACCCTCCGCAGACTTGCCGCAGGTCAGCCGGAAGCGGAAGAGAAAGAGAACCAGGACCAGGACGAGGAAGAGCAAGAGGAAGAGGAAGATGGAGAAAGGGAAAAGAAAAAGAAAGAGAAGAGCGAGAAGAAGAGGAAGAGGGAGAGAAAGAGGAAGAGGAAGAGAAAGAGGAAGAGGAAAAGGATGAGGATCAGGACAAGAAAGAGCATGAGAAAGAGGAAAAGGAAGCGGACAAGGAGCAGGAGAAGGAGAAGGAGAGAGAGAGAGAGAGAAAAAAATAAAAAGGAAAAAAAACGGAGAAAAACAAAAAGAAAACTAGTTTTGAAACGTCCGCCCCCCGGCTCCGCCTGCTTGTATGTGGAGATTTGTGTACATGTGGGGGGTGCATTTGGATATTTGTGTGCGCGTGCTATTTGGTGCTGCGTACATGGTCGTTTATTTGCATCCCTGTTGGCCTTTCTTGATCCCACTTGCACAATTGACCTTTCCTGTCAAACATGTAAGACCTCGGCTGATCAGACCATGTGTGAGTCACTCCATTTCTCCGAAGAAACGAAACACGCAACATGCTTTCCGCACCCAAACGGGAAACTCACAAAACGGTAAGAAACGCCTTTCTGTCGGCCTCCGCCAAGCCAAAAAACTTGGCGAATGCCGGTTCTGTCATGGAAAAAAACTTCCTGGCCATTTAGCGCCTCGGGTCGCACGAATTTGTGGCCAGTCTGGGGGAAGAACCCCAGGATGCTGCAGAAACGTGAGTCAAGTCAGCTAAGTGTCCCCTGCATAAGTTGCAACCATTCCTAAAATCATGGTGGGTGGCCACTCATTGCTTGTCAAACGGCAATGTTGTCAGCCACTCCTAGAGCAGTGTCACGCTCACTTACAATCATGATGGTGGGAGACGTGCTTCAGGATGTCATATTATTGATCCATGATCGTCCCAGAGTAAGTACTAATGAGACTACAATACTCCCTTTGGTTGGAGAACTCAGAGACATGCTTCACAACACTGCCACCGCCACATTCTACGGCTCAGACAGCACAAAGAACCTGCGAGTGTGTGCAAACAACTCAAGCAAGGCTCTGCGCCACAGAAACGCAGTGATTGCTGAAGTTAAGCGTTGAAATGTCTCATGGATCTGTCAGTACTTGAAATCGCAACTACCTCAAAGGCACACACCCGGTCAGTATTCACCCATTCTTGGGGACAATCACTTCCCCAGCGACGCGCTTGGCGGGTCAGTTCAATCACCGCTATACAAAGTGTCAAACCTCTCGATACTCATTGTTGACTCGGCTTCAACGGGATCAAGCCGAGCGTGATTCGATAGCTGTGGGTTACAGTCTTTCATGGCAAATGAGCACGAATTGAAATCCATGTAGCTTGAGCCTGCTTGCCAGCCACCACAGGCAGGCTCAAAGCGAAAGGTGCATAAGCGCTCGCTGCATGACAACCCAACACTAGGAGGAACGATTTGGAGGCTGTTAAGCCTTCTACAATTCAGCACGCTGTCCAACCTCAACAAATGCTGGTACATGAAGCGGCTTGGCACCATCAGATTCTGCGATGATCCGATCTACAGCCCGCAAAGCATTGCAGACTGGATTGGATGTATCACCCGAAGGCCCATACCTTGGAAAGTCAAAAATGATCGCCAAGCATCACATTCGGCGATATAGCTTGCTAGACCTCTTGCACGAATGAAAAAGTGTGGGAAGCGCTCATGACAATCGAAAATGCCGCTGGGATTGATATGCGCTATGTCAAAACGGCTGAGGCGTGCGGCCGGAGGTGAAGGATACCTAGGCTTCTGCATCTTCCAGTTCAGAGGAAGCAAACTCTGTGCTCCAATCACTCAAATCCTCAAAGCGCAACCAAGTCGCAAGAGCTACCATAATAATGCGAAGCGATAGCCTTCAACAACAGCAAGGTAGACTGTCGTGGTCCAAGTAAGTCAGCATCACACATGTGCGTCTGCAGGTACATCTGCAGCATTTGCGTCTGCATGTGCTAATGGTGCGCGTCTGCCTCTGCGTGCGAGCCTGTGTTTGCGTACCTGCGTTTGCGTGCTCCTGTGATTGTGCACCTCTACGAACCGTATGCTCCCCATACAGGCGGTACATGAACTCCGCATGCACGCGAGCCTGGCCGAACGGAGGTATGGCACACCCTCAGAGTGCATAAGCCCTGGAGAGTGCGTGTGTGTGTGTGGTATGTACACATGCACGTGTGCACACACTCACATTGTTCGTGCGTGCTTGCGTGCGTGCGCGTCAATACGTGTCAATATGCGCACTATGAGTGTCAACACGCAAGTCGTGGGTCTGGGTGCGTGGGTGTGATGCGCAAACGCTCAGGCACACGCGCAGGCCCGTGTGACCATGCCAGCAGGCTAGCAGGTCTTTGCACTTCAACCACAAGTGCCAGTGTATTTGCGCCTGCGTTTGCGCATGTCTGAGTGATTGTGCTTGCATTTGTTGAATGTGTTTGCGTTTGTGCTTGTGATATGTTTGTGTGCGTAGTTGTGCGTATGCATATAATTGCGTGAGTGCTTGTGTTTAGGATGCCGTGTGTGCGTGCATTTATGATTGCGTCTGAGGTTGTGCCCGCTTTTGTGTGTGTGTGTGTGCATCTGCGCGTGTTGTGTGCGCGCACTTGTCTGTGTGGCTGCGGTGTTTGTGGCGGTGTTTGCCTTTTTTGTAGCTGTACTTGTGGTAGTCACAGTGCCTATGCTTGTGCTTTTGCTTGTGTGGGTTGTGTGTGTGTGGTAACTTGCCTGTTTGTAGCTGTGGCTGAGGCTTTGCGGTGCTTGTGTTGTGCTTGTGCTTGTGCTTCCGCTTGGGCTTGTGCTTGTGCTTGTGCTCGTGTGTGTGGGTGTGGGTGTGTGGGTGTGGGGGGGGGGGGCGGTTGTTCCCCTTTAAAGCTGTGATTGTTGTGTAGGCATCTTGGTGTCTGTCCATGTGTTTTGTGATTCCCACTGACCAGGACATCTGCCTGGCTTTCAAAACACATGTTACAAGCAGAACCAGCTACGAGCCTCATAACTTTCACCGGGCCGGAGCTAACTTCTGGAGGCTGCGGCTCCTGCATAACCGTATGGATTGCAACACACGACAAGGCTTCCTCTGATAGTTTCGACTCACTGTGTTTGGTGGTCTTTTGCTCACTTGTTGGCGCTCTGAATATTCGGGGCTCTCCGACACGAGTTCCTCAAACAAAGATCGGGCCAGAGCAGCAAGCCAACGTATGCATGCCAACTACTCCTCGATTGCCATTTCGTCGCTCACTGCGAAGACCTGGCAGAGGACAGAATCACAAAACGCAGCGGCAGAAAGGTCCAGTCCGGAGAGGAGACCTTGAACTATCCCAATCCATGACGTGTGAAGCCTCCACTGACGGACCAGCGCTCCGGGCTACACAGCTTCTCCTGACTTAGGGTCAGACCTGCGCAAAGAAGCTCATCGCCACCAGGATGCCACAGGCCAGGCTGCAAAGGATGACAATGTTCACGGCCTCAATTCACTAAGACTTCCCTGAACCACCCACACGACATGAACTGCAGGGAGCGGGTTGTTCGAGAGGACTTTGCTCCCATGGCTGAAGGCCCCAAGGGTTCCAGTTCTGCGCATAAGCGATTGATCTCGACAGTTCCCTTCAGATTCTTCTCAGACCGGGCGGGCCATCAATATGACTCACACCTGCACGCAAATATGCATCTGTGCTGCCGTTTCACTGGATTCCCTACAGCCGAACACACAAACTGAATGAATCAGTACAAAAAATGCAACTCTCATCCTCCTCCACTCTGGATGTGCCAGACAGCTGCAAGTACACACTGAGAGGCGCGCCCAAAACAGGGCCAGGGGCACTTCGTCGGAGAGATCAAGGCCTTTCTCATTGACATGGGTATGAAATTTAAGTGGAAGTGGACCCTTTGGTGGACATCTGAAGATGTATGCCTGAAGAACGGGTGTCCTTGCCATTTCAAATTTCGCATTAGACTGCCAGCAAGCAAACAATCATCTTACCTCTTGTTGGCTTGATTGGTCAGGATGAGTTGAGGGGAATGCTTTCCATCTGGCTTCACCAACAATTACAGTGAGGATTCAAATCTTGAAACATCCAGCCAAAGTAAAGAAGCAAGTGATGTGCTTAGCTTGCTAGAATGTGCCCGCTGCTGACTTTTGGTTTGGCATCCTAGCAAAAAGCATGACAGTACAGCGCAAATCTCGCAGAAAAGTAACACGCGTGCCGCAACGACTGGCAATCGATTCTTGCAAGGACGGCTGACGTGTGCACAGGTGTTTTTCTATTTTCTGTGCCAGCTATTACCAGCTATGCTTCAAAGCGACGCAGTTTGATGCTCAAGATGGCCGGTGAGAACAGCTTTGGGCTCTCACAAGGTAAAAACAAAGCAAAACAGGTAACAGACCCACGCAACATGTCCTTTTACCTTGATTACGGAAACTACAAAAGAAACCCAGCATGTTGGGGGGGACCCTGCAAAATGTCCTACGGAGCCATCCTTTGTCGTCGCCAGACTTCACACCATGAGCACATCCACGGGCCAAAGAAAAAGGCAGGCGAAGAGATCAAAACGTTGGCTGCCGCACATGTGCCCTAGCAGAAACTCCTTTAACAAGCGTCCAACATCCAGGCGCCACGGCTCGTGGCCAAGCGTTGGCGACGCAGGGGGGAGTCTCCGATGGCCTGCAGGGGTATGGGGGGGGGGGGGTCGAAAAGAAAATGCTCGTTCCTATCGGAGACCCATTGGGGGGCGCCTTGTTTTGAAATTATCTTAGCAAAACCAAAAGAGAACCGGCCATTCTCAAGGTCTGCTTCCCAGGTTCAGTTTCATGCTGGCCTGCCTATCGGTATGTATCAAGAGTGGAGACCCTCCTCTTTGATCAAGCTAGGAAATCCAAATCTTTGGCAAGACTAGACGTAGACGCAGAGAACAAAAGCAGCGCCTCCTGCACATTGCGAATGCAAAGTGAGAGCAACGCCACCAAGTGGACCAGATAGGAGCCTGAATGCCCAAGCTTGATCTTGCAGGCCCTTTGTAGTTTGCTTCTTGGGTCGCTTGTTCTAGACCGAGACTCCCATGAAACAAATGCTTCAATCCACAACGGATCCTGTTCCAAGTAAAACTTCACATACCCGCGCCAGCTCCGAGTCGCTCTCGGCACTTGATCCAACTCTTAGTGCGCCACAGAGAACGCTTGCCGCAAACCTACCGGCTGAGTCTGGGCACCAAAGGAGAAACGTCAGCTTCAGAATGGATCGGCAAACTCAACATCCTTGACAAATCTGACAATCAGCGCATGCTGATGATGCCCAAGCAGCAAAAAACAAAGCACAAAACGTGTGCTGTTGTTCTTCTGAAATGATGCTCCCTTCTGCCTGGCAGCAGCCATGGGTGAGGTGCCTGCAAGCACCGCAACACGCAATACTGCGCCAGCGGTGCGCGACAAACTAAAAATGGAACTGCAAGAGTTGAACACGGCGCGTTTGCAAGGAGCTTGCAGCAAAGCAAGCGAAAAACACTGGACCCTGCATGCCTGCATCTGGTAGACGTCCTCCGGCCAGACCACCTCGACGACTCTTAAACTTGGAGACCTCCAAGACAAAGAGCGCCAACAGGACACATCAGAAGCCCAGCAACATGTCCGTGTCCAATGTGTGAAAAAGGAGCGCCTCATCCAACTTTGCAAATTTGTCCGTTCGTCTCTGCAAGGCCGCTGCTGCTAGGGAGAAGGCAACCACACCTGGGGCAGGCTTACACTGTGCAAACCTTCTTTTGCTCGCACTAGTTCCAGGAAAACAGAATGCTCTGCACCTTAGGGATGGGCCAGACTGTGCCATGCATCGATGCAGCTGGTGAAGCATCCTGGTCGGTTCAACGCAAGTCCGGAAAAGCACCACAAAGAAAGTATCAAATCAATCCCTTCCTCACACGTGCAAAAGAACCTAGGTCGACCTTGCGAAACCCGCAAACCCGCATCGCTATCCTTCGCTGCTGCTTGCGCTCCGTCTTGGCCACACCTGCCATCATAGATCAAATGGCGGAATTCGTCAATGGCGGAATTCGTCAAATGGCCACACCTCGTGCTGTTCAAAACCGAGCAGCTTCGACCAACATCACACGGTAACAGTGAACAGCACTAGAGTGTCACGCCTGGCTTCTCCATGTTCCCACACCTGGCAACTGTTCGGCAGATTCTACTTCTCCGAGAGTGCGATGACATGCTACCAAAAAACTACGGCGCCAACTCCGTCAGCGGCTGGCCACCAGCCGAAGGTTTACGCGGAGTTCGCCAAAATCCCCATTGCACTGGCCAGAAAAACCTCGCAATTTATTGGCTGCAACTGCCCTCTGACGCTGCAACTTGTCAACATAACATCAGGTAGCCCTCCTGCCCAGCAGCAGGGCCCGTGAAAAAAAGGCCGTGTGTGGGCCATGGTAATGGTTCCCTTACAAGGAATGCTTGTGATGGTTGTCAAAAATACTCATTGAGTCAAGGGGCATTCGCACCATGCCACATATGGCCAGCGCGTCTGTTCCACACATGCAAAAGTGAGCCGGAAAGCTCCTGTTCTCAAAACCCCCCGGGCCTGAAGTCAGTCCAGTTGGAGCAGCAAGTGCGCGTGCTGCGAGACGATCCTGAATTCAAGGAATTCAATCAAGCAAGTGCATCTCTAACTACAGGTGCTAAAACGCAATAAAGAATCCCTCTCTGGCACCTAATTGTCTTCTGTTCTGCAGTGCTCCCTCTGATGGATTGTTGTAACTAAGCTTGCTGTCGGTTATAGGCATTTTAGCACAAGGCCATGGAAGCACGAGCAAGTGTCACACTCAAATTCGCGTGGCGGTCTGGTCCTGGACAACCCTGCACGTTGGCTATCGGGCTGCCACAGCTCAAGGGGCTTCCCTCGCCATTGAGATCCTGGCCATGCTCATCGATTGCTTCGGACGACAAATCATACGGCTGTTTACTCAAAACATACGAGGGGCAGCGTGACCTCTAGCTTTAGTCAACTTTAATCAGCAAGCGTGTGGCCGCACAAACTGCACCGGACATGCTGAAATCAGATTCGTGACTTTGGTGTGGCGATGCGAAATCTGCCACATTGGTTGCGTGGCATAATAACCACCCTTGCACGGCTGGACTTCCTGATTCCTCTGAATGTGCACTGACTTCTGGCCACAATTTTCGCATGTCCTCATTGAGGAACAAACATTGTCCAGGTCTACGTGCATGGCTTCGGATGGTGGTCAGCGCTTCTACGGGGTACATGCGTGTAGGCAAAGCACACACGGACACACACCTGCCAATGTCAGCCATTCAGGTCACCATAGGTTTTGTTGGCACTTTCGTTGGTCCCCTTCTCGTCCTCCCCAAACTGCCTGTAGACTCAAAGCAAGTGTCAGTGTGTCAGTTGTTGCGGCAGGCTCCTTCAGGCTGGCTTCAGGCAAAACCTGGCGAAGTTTTGTCTGTTGCGACAGCCGAAGCAGCCAGGAACACCAAGAGGTGTGGTCTTGTTGCAATGTTCAGCATTTCCAAGGACAAATACTCCGCAAACAATCATAAACCCGAGCAGCGACCAACTATGTAAAAGCCCTGCAAACACCCCACACCAGCAAGGAACGGCAAGCTAAGATTGTTTCAGGAGCACCCGCCTGAGAAGCCACTTCGGTGACGGGCAGCTGGGAAGCATCATCCTGCTGAAAGATGCTAGCTTCATTAGCTGGCTCATGTGTCCCACGGTCAACAGCACTTGCGTACGATTTGGTGCTGTTCACATGAAGCATGCATGGCAATCATTGAATTCATGCTCAAAGGTTAACGTCATCCCAACGTTCCACGTTCTGGTGTATGCCACCCTCCCCTTGGGTCCTCCTTCTTTGCTCCCAGTACACGGCGTCGGTACATGCTCGCTCGGCTATATAGCTTCCCAGGTCACTGGCTGCAGGGACAAATCAAGAAAAGCAAAAAACTGCCAATAGCCAAGGCCTTCAAAGGTCCTGCACCAATTTGCTGGGAAACACCCGGCCAAGGCAAAGATTGTGCTGCCGTGGATGCGGCGAAGCAATATCCACTCAACATGTCACTATCCAACAGAATTGTCATGGAGACTAATGTTCTGCACCAACTGGATAAAATATTGGTGGCAATGACAGCACGCAAGGCGCGCACAATCGCTTGCCAGGACCGATGCCGCTTATCCGCTAAAGAGTGCGCGAGAGGCTGTTTGGGATAGAACCTCTCAAGCGGCACCCGATCCTCAGTACATCGATCGAACTGGCAGTCAAACTCTGCAATGACCAATCTATGCGCAGCCGTAGATCGGGCCAGTCTCACGCTGAGATACCGACTGTGGCTGCAATGCACTCCAGCCCACAGCTTGAGCATAGCGGTCACAAGTAGCGACAATGATGAATCCCGCGAAGCCAAGCAAGGGCAAGAACGCGACAGCGGCATGCTTGATTTTTTCCATGGCAAAGGAAGTTGAAGCTGTGTTTTTTGCAGCACAAAGAGCACATTCACGTGCTGAAATGCTATCATTGGCGGAAATGGTTCTACACAAATCCAATACCGGTGACAGGAGACCCGTCCCACCAGCGGCAAATATACAATCCATGACATTGCAGAGTTCGTGAACTGCGCACGAAAGCTATTGCAAAGTCCCATTGCCTTTGAGCAATGAACCCCGGGCCCAAAAAAATACAGCGCCGGCTGCGCAACGCTGTGTGTGCCGAATTCTAGCTCAACCAGCGAGTCATTAAAAGTCCGCGTCCAAAGCAAAGCGGTCCTCTTCGGAAGAACCGCCCATGACACCTGCCTTTTGGTACTCTCCCACCCTCTTCTCGAAGAAGTTAGTCTTGCCCTGCAGGGAGATGAGCTCCATCCAGTCAAAGGGGTTGGTTGCGTTGAAGACTTTCCTGGGCGACTCGAGCTGTGAGGCTTGCTCTCACTATCACTCAGGGGGGAAGCTGCCTGTTGACCCTCTAAGCCTTGGTCAAGGTCGCAAAGGGTGAAAGGGTCCGAAGACAGGGTCCCACGGTATACTCTTATGACTCGCCTGTCACCAAACGACTCTAAGTCTCGAATGCCCAAGCGCGCAAAGAAGTCGGTCGGCCACAAACTCAATGTATTGGGCCATGAGATCCGCGTTCATTCCGATCAAGTCGCAGGGCAAAGCTTCGCAAATGAACTTGCGCTCTGTCTCCACGGCCCCTTTGATGATGTCGTGAACTACCTCCTTGACAGGTGCTGTGCGAGATTCTCGTCTCATTGGGTCTACAATGGTCGAACTGGTGCGCCCAAATCTTTCACAGGACATCCAATTACAACAAAACCAACCAGCGAAGTAGTGCAAGTTGAAACTTTGGCTGCTATGCCATGTGGGTGTCTACCCTGTGGAAATTGATACGTGTGTACAATGCTCCGTCCCCTTGAAAGTGGATGACAGGGAAGGGTGAAAAATGACCACTGCTCACGATGTGACCCTCAGTAACTGGTGAACCCCATGTCATTGCCCGTCCTCCGGCAACTTGTTCTCCAGCATGCTGTACAATAGACACGCAAAGTCTGCGTGAAGGCCCTCATCTCCTCGGGTGGCGAAAGCCTCACTTTAGGTCTCGCTAAGTAAAACCATCCGCAAGAACACCAAGCATCCAGTTTTGTATAACAGATTCAACTTGCTGCGATTTTGTACCCCTCGGGCCCCTCAGTCCCTCGATCGCTTCGGGAGGGTCCGGGGTCCCCTCTTGCACCGGGCGGCGCGAGATGAGCTCATTGGAGAAGCAAAGGCCGGGCATGAGACCCCGCTTCTTCAGCCAGTAGATTGCGCAAAAGGATCCGCTGAAAAGCACACCTGCCCAAGAAACGAAAAACGTAGTGAATTGGTTCCAGCAACATGGTGGCCGAATGGGTATCACTCTTATTGCTTCACAAAATTGGCAAGTCATGCATGTCTTTGCTGCTGAGCGGGAAAACCGCATCCGAGCAACTCAACCTAGGCAAAAATAGCAGGCCTTTGTGCACGCGTTCCATGTAAGTACATAAGATGTTCGTGTCAATTGCGCGCAAGTTTTACGATCTACACGGCATGCGAACAATATCTCGCCTACCTAAAACTTAGTGTGAGCTGCTTAGGAGGAAAAACAAAGACTCTTCTCAGCGCATCCTCAGTTATTGGCTTTCGTCGCAAACAACCATATGAATACAAGACAGAAGAATATCAAATCCTCACCAAATATTAAAAGGAACAAAGCACGGTGAGCATGATAATTATGATTGAAACTTTTGAAGTGGTCCAGTTAAAGCCCTAGCCTCAGCTGTCAAAGGCGTCTAAATTGGGTGACCCAAAACAAATGTGTTCTAGCATCCTACACATATGATAGGTGCATGCTGGAAGACGTTTGCTAGAACCCGTTTGCAAGGTCCTCTGAATAAAGCCTGTAAGTCATCTGAATCTGTGTCCGGATTCAGAAAGTACACCCAAGTCGTAATTTAACAAGGGAACATCTCCTGGATCAAGGACAGTCGAAGACTTTCAAGTTAGCTTTCTTGTGCAGTCGAATCCCAACAGAAACAGTGGCCTCTCAGCCTGCAAATACCCTTCAACTCTTCCCACATCTCCTCGCCCTAGCTCCCCGCACACCTTCGACGGCCGCGAAAGCAACGATGCGCTCCGCAAAGCTGCAGGCGGTGTTCATCCACTGCACCGCCCACTTTGCCTTCTCCTGGGCTTAGATGAACGAAACTGCCCGGCTCTCCGCCTTTCCGCCTTTCCGCCTTTCCGCCTTCCTTTCCTGATTTTGTGGAGGGTTGCATCACAGGCCTGGTGCCTCTCAGGAGTCTCACATTTGAATTCCAGCGCTTGAAGACGTCAAACACCTGGTGCCTCAAACCGGGGAAGCGGACGTCCGTTGCTCTCGCAAATTGGAGAAGAACACATTCTGAGGCAGAGCCTCCAGTCCCGCTTTGAGCTTTGCCTCTAAGACTTTGCATATTTGAGGCCAACCTCAAGAGATCACAACAGCAGTGGCTGCTGGCTGTGATACTCTTGGAGCCAGCATCAACCATCCTCATTGTCCCTGACCTTGTGAAATGATGATTTGGGTCCCGGTCGAAATTGTTCTGAAAGACAGAAGGAAAGAAAGCAAGAAAGAAATGAAGAATGATCAACGAAGGGGGGTTAGACTCGCAAGCAAGCCGAAGACCCACTACCACCCTTGCAGTCTCCTGCACTGCAGGCATCGTGGCAATGGCGTTGAAGACCTTGTCCTTTTCGACAGGATCCTTGATGTACCTTGATATTGTGCTTGTTTACTGTCTAAAACTGTCTTAACGTGGATCATGTCATCTCTCGTAGCAGTACGTCTCACACAAGAGCAAAACCCTCAAAAACTACAGCCTCTGTGTATCTGTGATCGCCTCAGCCCAGTCCCGTCTTGATATTGAAGCGTTGATGACAATGTGTTCCCCCCTGTGCCACCAGTCCATGCGATTTGGAAGCAATATGGCGACAGAGGTCAGTCATTGCAGCTGATGCTGTTATCGCAAACTAGTTTTTAACAAGCTAGCATGTGCGTAATCGCGGTATCCAGTACAGAACTCACTCACTTGGACAGCACATTCCAAACAGCAAGTTCCTCACATGCCAAAGAGAGCTGGACAACGACTACGGGAAAAACATATGCAACCCTGAATCTCATGTGAGTGAGGAACCAAAACTGGCCACTTTCAACCAGCCCCAGAGCAAAGCCCACCACGGTCTGTGGATCACGTTCTTCACCCTCCATGCGCATAAGGCACTGCTCGATCAGTAGCGAGTAGGTCTCGGAGTGGATGTTCTCCATGGCCATCTGAAATCCATAGAAGGCCCGCGCCTGGCGGAGCAAATAGGATGAGCAAGGCGAAGGAAGCAAGCAAGGCCAGCAGAAAGGTCAAAGTGCCACAGAATCAACTCCGTCCCTTGCTTTCTAAAAACACAAAACAGGAATAGCAGCTGGCCGCATGCGTTGCACACACACGATACACAACCATCATCCCAGCAGCCTGTCAACAACTCAAACACATTGCTGTCGCGTGGCACCAAAATACTGGGCACGTCAACCTGGGTGGTATCTTATTTTGCAAGTCAAAACTGGGCCAGGTGACGCGCCCACATCCATGCAATCAAATCGCAGCCTCCTCCGGAAACGCAAAATGTTGCATAAGTTGTAACGCGGAACATTTAGGTCGGCCAACTTTTTGTTGGTGATCGCACCAGTTCAGAAGGCCATCCTTCACCAAAGAACGAAGACCCGTGCCTCGGGGATTTGCACCTCCGAGGCGAAGTTGGTGGATAAATTCTCCAGGACGATTCCGTCACTTGCCGCGAAGAAGGCAAGCACGTGCTTCACAAAATGCTGCTCCTGGCTTCGCCAAAGCATTATGTGCTGCTTCCGGCGCTTTAACAAATCTAAAGCTGGGGGTCTCGGAGTGTGGAGAATTCACGCACGACGCTTTTGTTGCAGCAGGGCCTCCTGACTCCGAACGGTTTGGGGGTCAAGGTGAAGCTAGACTGAATGTGACCAAGGCGGGAAGAAAGATCGAAATACTGGTGTCCAAAAACAATAATTGCAAGGTGAATGAAGAAGTAGACTGAAGCCAAGCGTACACTCTCAACATTGCAATGAGCCTTGAAACGGGCCGTGTGTGTCTTGTGACCCGCAAACAACACAGACTTGCGCAACTAGGCAACCTGCTGCTTGCGTGCCCATGATGATCTAAGTTGGTGGTAACCCATTTAGTATAGCTTGAGCGGCACGTCTCTAAGCCATAAAGGCCTCACCTCCGAAAACTGCGAGCATTGAGAAAGTCCAAGCGATAGGGTAACTATCTGACGATGCTAGAAGCACACATACAGTCACATACCACCGATGTTTCAGTTGGATCAACAAGGCAGCACTTGCCCCTATCTGTTTTTGTGCTCAAGCGAGCAAACATGAGCTCCCAAAAGACAACTTTGCAACGCACGGCATGCGCAACGTAGTCTGACTGCCTTCGGCCCGCCCTAGCTGGCACGCGCTCGGCACCGCGCTTGCACCCGAGTTGTTTGAAAGGATCAGATCTCCGTGTGGTCCATTGCTTAACTACGTAGTAACTACTTGGGAATTGAAGTGGGCATCGTGTGTGTGTGTGTGTGGGGTCAAAGGCCACCTGATTCGCATCAGCAAGATTGAAAACGACCTTGCAAAGCCAGTCCGCCTTCTGTCTGCCAGGCCTTCTGTACAATATTTTTCTGGGGGGCAGTCCGCCAAGTGGATCGTTCATACCTGACCTTAACCGCAAAAGGAATATGTTTGCTATCCTCCCAGTTCTGTCATCGGACACACCTGAGGTTTGCTCTCTGTCAATGAACGTGGGTGGCTTCCCACTCAATGATTTGCTTTGATATGCATCAAGCACTTCCGGCTGTGCAAGTTGAAGTTGCATCGTCACTGGGCCATCAATAATTTGGAATGGACAATTGCAGTGAACACTCGGACGTTCCGTTTCACGGATGCTTTGGAAATTGAAAAACAAATCCGAGGTCAAATAACAGAAGCAAAAGAAAAGGATCGGACAACGATAATCACGTAAACCCCTGTGCCAAATGGATTGCGTCAGAAGAGCAAGAACTGACTGGCAGCAGCAGCAGCAACAACAGCAGAAGCAGCAGCACGAGCGGCAGCAGCAGCAGCAGCAGCGACGATTACAAGCACAACCGCGACCACAGTCACGACAACGACCACGACAACGATCACCACCACCACCACCACCACCACGACGGCGACGACGACGACGACCACCACCACAACAACACCAACAAAAAACCAAAAACAAAAAACAACCCTCGAGGGCCTGCCTTCTCCGTAAGGTTCTCCCAATCCTTGGCGTCGCTTGCCAGGTCAATTTCCTCCGCAGTCCAGAAGGACGCCTGCGGAGGCAATACAACCACTGCGTGGAAAAGAACTGAAGATCTCTTCAAAGAGGCTTGGTGGGTCATGAGAAGTACAAAGCAGGGAAAGGGTCCAATTGGCATGCCTGAACTGGATTGGACTTATCGGATTGGACCGTTTCGTGTGTGGAGTAAGGGGGACTTGCTGAACGTCACACCACACAAGACCAATCCAAGCCTGAGAGCCAGTTCCCTCGGAGCAAATTCACTCAAAGCAAAGAACCTACCTGACCCATTCAGCAAAAGGCTACCAGACTTGGACCTGGAGACTTTCGTTGCAACTGACGTCTCCGTGTTCCCCGTTTGCTTGTAACTGCAAGGCCAAGCACAATGCAAAACACAGCCGTCGAGCTTTTGACAAGCTGTAAAAGTGCGTTCGACTGCCTTGCTCTGAACAAGATGACATGCAAAATGTGGCCTTTGAAGGGAGATCAAACGGATTCACTTGAGCCACCAGCACATGTGTCAGTCGTTTCGCTGCGATGTGCGCTTTTTTCCGGCCTTCATTGCAACTTGGTGCTCATCTAACACCCTGAAGACCACTCCACGCTGTTCCAGAAGCAGCTCTGTGTTGTCTTGCCCCAGTCTAGCGGCTCCAAACAAAGCAGCCACATGCAGTCTTGCGAAACAACTATTGATGGCAGCTTCTCTAGGTGGAAAGCGGAACAAAACTGCTCCCGGTCCCGGTCAAGGCAGACAACACGATGAATACATGCAACATACGGTGTTCTGCACAAGGCCGCATTTACAATAGTCGATGTGCCTCTCTGTCTGTGTGTGCTGTGCCATGCGTTACCTTGGCACCCCTGTACCCAGAATGCATTCTTTTGAGAGAAAGGGAGAACAACATATCCCAAGGATCGTTCTAATGCAATGCTCTCTTAGTTGACGTCTTCAGTGACAGATTCTATGACAGTGCAGCTCAGCTAGCTGTCCATGTAAATGTGCACATGTGCGTATGCAAAAACAACCAATTTGTAAGGCACCAAACCCCGTGCATAATTAGTACAAGGTCAAGATTGCGGTAAAACCAGTACTCTGACACTCAATCGTACTGAAGCATACTATTCCAAACACTGAAGCAAGACTGTAGCCTCACAGAGATGTCATGCACAGAGGGGTCAAGAGCGGTTGGCCTCATGCTTCTTGTACATCTCGAAGACTGCAGAGTACTGAATGGGAAGCAGCACCCAGCGTCGTGGGTTGCTCTTCAGCAGGGGGTCGTTCTTCTCAAGTCGCTTCATCTCTTCACTGACCGCACTCACAGGCGCACGGACCTCACCTCAGCCCACTCAAGGCTGGGAAGCCTCGAACCACTCAGCCGTCCATTGTCTGATAAACTCACCATCCATGGAGCCTATTGTATCTTCGTTAACACGGGACAGAGTCAGTCAGGTCCGCTAAAAGTGCTGTGAATCTGCAACGTGTTTACTGGACCCCGGAAGAACATGTGTGCCTTCTCACTGGTCGGTTTTCAGAGGTCAAAATCGATGCAAACATGTCAGTGCCATTCTGGTAACATTTACTATCCCACATCATGTTGAAGCGGCCGTGCTCAATGCCATGAACAATGACGCCAACTTGATGGATCCCAACAAGGCTGGGAATTGCATTCAGGATTTCATAGCGTTTTGTTAGTCGATGTATAGAAGCAATTCTCACAGTGCAGATTCCCCGCAAACAATTTTACATCCTGCCACCCATTTGCATCCATGGCAGCATTGTCGGGCACCAAAACAGTTTTGCCTTCAACTAGAAACAATGTTTCTAGGCCTGTTTCCCACTTCATCAGTTTGGGATTGACATTTGCGCCAAGTTGCATCACGACAGCGTCTGAATATGCTAGACATTGGAAACAAACATTGCTTTGGTAATTCGGACACAAGTGCGAATCCAAACAGCTGAAGTGACTGAGAGCTGGAATACACGCCAACATCACTTTTGAACAGAGAGAGTTCCATTCCTTTCTGATATACATCCCGAACAAAACCAAACCATGTGCCGTGAAGTCACCCAAAGCCTCCATCTTGCACGGAAATGGCGGGTGGAGCACTGACTCGAGCCGGAAGAACTCCGGCAAGCAGGAAGTGTGTGTGTTGTGATGTTGTCTGTCAAAATGCGTGTGTGTGCGTGTGTGTACAAATTGCCTACCCACTAGCAACACCAAAAAGTTGCCGCACGCAGTCTAATATGTTTAGCCATTGTACTGGAACGGCACGAAATCTAACGAGTTAGAATCTTGGTCACTGCTTCAAGCCTAAAGGGACATGCAGGGAAAAAAGCAACCGACCGGAGCAAACTCGATACGCGCTTTTTTACTTGAGCGTTGCTTAGAAGTGCAGGCTCAGAGATGCAGGTGGAGTGACGATGCGCGTCCACTCCATTTTCCTGCATCTCATGCGGAGCCTGTCGGAATACCCCCTGAGGTCAACATTGCGTGTTCGACCATCACACAGGGTGTTTTACCCGTGGGGTGTGAGACGAAAAAGAGGTATGCTGCACATGTATGCAATGCGTGCATAAGTGTGCATGGGAGGATGCGTCCTCCTGCAGGGGGCCAGTCCGGGCTGGCAGAATGCCGATGGCATTCGTCAATGTGCGCCTGCGTGCACTGCGTGGGCCTCGCTGCGTATGCTCGAAATGGTCCTGCGGGAGTATCGAGATGCAGTAAGCCGACGAAATGTTGGGAGCTGACCAGCTTCCATTCATGCGGCTGCATGCGTCCCTCTATCAGGCCTTGTGGAGGCGGCATGCCACCTGGGCCGTGAAAGGGTGGGAGGGTGGGTTCAAAAAAGAACGAAAGAGGGGTCAAACCCTCCAGGCATGTCCCTTACCAAAAGGCTTGAAGCAGAAATGGCACGCGGCCGAAGATTCAACCAAGATTAAAACACAGGGGAAAAGACAAACCCCTAGCGTTAGAATCTTGGTCACTGCTTCAAGCCTAAAGGGACATGCAGGGAAAAAAGCAACCGACCGGAGCAAACTCGATACGCGCTTTTTTACTTGAGCGTTGCTTAGAAGTGCAGGCTCAGAGATGCAGGTGGAGTGACGATGCGCGTCCACTCCATGTTCCTGCATCTCATGCGGAGCCTGTCGGAATACCCCCACTTTAGAGTTCTAAGCAAACGGTCAAATCACCTTACCCCCTCTTTAGTGCGTTTGCGCAGCAGCCACGTGCTCGGGTCTCCACGGTGCGTCCGCAGGGTGAAGTGTGAGAGCTGATGCGTGAGGCCAGAAATCATGCGGCCTGAAGCGCACTCTGGCTTCTGGTCGAGCCTGGAAAGCGGAGGTATTACCTCTGCTCAGCTGGTCTGCCCAGATGTTGTGCTCCCCTGGGATGTGTGACGCGATCACGGACCATTTGTGCTTATGGGCCCAGGCAGCAACAAGTTGCACAAAGACTTGCAAGGGCCAAGAAGTGGTGAACAGCTTATTAACACCGGCTTCGGAAGCTGTGTTATCTGTTCCTGTGGGCATGCAAATGCCATGCACGCCTTGTCCCTCGCAGGACCACGCGATCCGCATGAGTGCTAGTTGGGCCAAGGTTTCGAAGCATGCGATGTAGCGCTGGGCTTCTTTGGTCAGGCATGGCCATTGTTCCTGGACTTCTTGGAATTGCCATGTCTCTGCGAACCACGCAACGGAGTTGCGGGAGATGAACCAACCTCCTATGCCTACTATACTGCCCTCGGCGCATGCATCCGCGGCGGCTTTGCAAGCCAGCATTGGTTTGCTTCTCAGCGGGCATGCGAGGTCGAGATGGAAGCATTGCAGCAGCCATTCTACGCTGTGTTTGCTCATCTTGGACAGGCGAGTGTGCTCTGCGGAGGCGTCCGCTACGCGCACCCAAGCGGACTTGTGGCTAGGCACAACGCGAGGCAGGTCGGCTGGCGTGCGAATGCATGCCCCTTGGAACTCTAGAACTTTAGAGCCTAGCGGCATAAAAATGCCATGCACTGCTGATCTGAGCACGGCTTTGGCGTCTAATGCTGACAGGAAAGATGGCCATAAACGCGCATGGACAGAGAGCATGCAACCCGGCGGCGAGTGCAGGTCTGTGTACAATGGCGCTAGCCAGGATCTGAGTTCGGGGCTCAGGCTGGTAGCCCAAATGAGAAGTCCTAGAACCTGCTCTAGGAGTTTGCGCTTGACCTTTCCTGCTTTGAGCAGCTCGTGCAACTGTCCTTTCAATTTGATGGTTTTTTCCGGCGTGAGTTCGATGGTCTCGTGCAGGAAATTAATGCGCCACCCACACCACGTGAGGTTGTCCTGAAATTGAACTTTCTTCCAGGAGATCGGGGCCGATATGGCTGCAAAAAACATGACCATGAGGGCCAGCTGCGAGTCTGCGTCATTGCGACGCAGTGCGGCTAAAAGGTCATCTACGAACAACCATGCGCGATGCGGGTGCAGTCCCAAAATGCCGTGCAGTAGTCTCAGGAGGAATGCTCCGGTGCGCTGCCACCAGTATGCAGAGAAGCGTGCTCCGAAGTGGCACACTCTATAATGGTACAGGACATTGGCAACCCGAAACAAAAGCAGGCCATGTTCACTGGGGTGCACCTGGATCTGCTTATGCGCTGCTTTGAAATCAAAGCTTGCCCCCACAAAGGACGAGTGCGTGTCCTCGGGGAGGAAGGCTAAGCGCACGTCTGAGGCCATTGGCAGGCTGATGCGTTCGGGAATTGCGCACTTGGGGTTCACCCCACACACAGTGCTGTCTAAGACTAGTCGCGGGTCTTTGCCTTCAGCATGCACGACGTTGAGCTTCCCGACTGCTATGCCTTTATGCCAATGCTGTCTGGCTTGTTCGATGGACATGCTGGTACGAATGACCCATCCGTTTGCAATTTCTTTTTCTAGCAAGGCGGACACTGTTTCTGGTTCCGCTTCAGCGGCTTTCCAGTTGCCGATGCACTCGGTGAGTTCACTAGGCAGGTCTGCCTGGGGTTTTGGCGGCCACTGCATGCTGCGCGGCAACTCCGACACCGCCCCTGTTGGCACGCCTTCTGCCAGCAGCGGCACTAGTTTGAGGTCGGGGTCATTGGATGCCGTCGCTAGGGCATGCAAAAGTGATAGGCGGTACGGCTGTCCTTCATCGGGCGCAAGCTCGGATGGGCACGGCATGCTCATGGCGCGGAATGCTATTCGTGCTGCCTCCTCGGATTGCTGTTCCGAGAGAGGAGGGGATGCGTTGCCGGAGCCCACATGGGCCAGAATTTTTGGGATGAGTTTTTGTTCGTTTAGCCAATGCAGCCAGGCCCGAGCGACTATGGTGAGCGGGTGGTTTGGTTGAGGGATTGAGTGGTCTGCAGTTGAATGCATGCCAGCTCCGTCGCATACCCGCAGGCGCACGGGGTGCAGTGAAAGCGGGGAGGGTTTGCTTAAGCGGCGGACCTCGGGCTGCGTGCTCACTTTGAATGCGCAATGTTTGATCAAACTTGCTGCAAGACTTGCCGGGTATTCGGCTGTAAGCGTGCTCAGGTACTGGCCTGAGCTTCCCTGAACTCCAGCTATGCTGGCGTGCTTTTGTTGATGCGTGCATCTGCTGGCCACGTGCTGGATGCATGCATTGTTGCTGGCGAAGCACCATGATTTGGAGAGCAGCATACCATGTTGGCACGCATCCACCCATGCGAGGTGCCCGTGAAAGTTTTGTAAGCACTGGAAATTTTCCGGCTCTAACCACGCCATGCTGGACGGTGGCTGCTCGAAGATTGCTACGCCACTTTGTGAGGCTACTGCTTTGAACAGCTCTCGTCCTCTTCTGTGGATTTCGCGGCTGTCGCGAACCCGAGAGAGTTCTGCTGGTGACAAATTGGGCACACCTAGCATGCATGAAGGTGTGCGTAACGCTTTGGGCCCGCCCGGCCTAAGCTTGAGCCGGGAGTATTCCTTGCACGGCGGTGCTAGGGTTAGCAAACTAACGCTGCCCGACCAGCATATGCGTAGAAGCAGTTCGAACCATGCGTCATCCAGAATGTTGTGCTGAGGATTGGCGTCCAGGTCAAAGGCTTCGAAGCGCGCCAGGCCTCGTTGGTCTGCTGCCGCGGAAATTGGTGCACGCACTCCTGCGAAAACGTCCAGCAATCGTCCTTGCCTGGGCGTATGCGAGGCTCTGGCGTCTGCAGGTGTGGGTTGGCATGCGGGATTGGGCACATTGGATGCGGCCGGCGGTACTGCACCGTCCGGGGAAGTTGCCGGGACTTCCCGCGGACTGTTTCATGTGTGGCTTGTTGCGTGCTGGGATGCCGGATGCGTCTGCTGGCACCCTTTTATTGCGCACACATGTGCAAACTGGCAGTTGTCTGATTTGCACTGCCCCGTTTGGAATCTGCGGCAAATAGGCTTTCCATTGCGCGAGGTAGCCCAGGCGTTTTTGGACTTTCCTTTCCCCTTGCCTTTGCCTTTCTTGTGCGGCGGCTCGGATTTTTGCGGCCGGCTGGCGGGCCGTTTGGGCTGCCTGGGAGTCAGTTGGGCCCGTTTAGCGGGAGGTAGTGCAGGCATGGCTTTGGAGATTTTAGGTCGCAGCATGAGGAGCGAATGGATCTCCATGCGGCCATGCGTGAGTTCGTGGAAGGCATCGTCCATGGACCATTTGCGATGCAGAAGGTCTACGATTGTGCCCCAAATCTGGCGATCTGCATGCAAGAGTTCTGAGGTCGTGACTGTGCGCAGGGACAGTGCGGGGTCTGGCTGCGTGAGGCACATGCTGGCAATTTGCTGATCCAATGCTTTGGCGTTCAGTAGGTGCACGGCTTGGCACAGGGCCAATGCATTGCGGAACACTTGTTGAGTGCGATGCAGCCAGCTAGCTGTGAGTGCTCTGCCCTCCACACTGACCTCTGGGGTTTCGTCGAAGAATGCATGCGTCAGTAGCTGTGCTTCGGTGCGTGCTACTTTATGTGAACGTGCTTCCATGGCTTCTTGGTATTGGCGTGCACTGAGTCTCAACTGCCACGGGATCCATTTGAAATGCTTGGATTTGGTCATGTCATAGACCATGCTTAAAAGGCGGATGCTAGGCATGCTGTCTGGACCTAACAGCTCGCCTGGGTAGTTCTTTTGGAACT